AGTTTCTTTCTCGGCACCGTCGACGAGCCTTAGGGTGCACTGTGCGTTTTTAGTGACGTCACGCTCGACGGAGGGCGTCCCGACGGAGGGTCGATTGTGTCAACACTGGATGCAGTGGTGCTCCGCCGCTTATCTTCCTTGAAACACCTCGAACTGTTGCGCGTTTCTCATCGGGGAAAAACGGGCGCCTCCTGTTCGAAGACTTTGAACCTCCCCATTAGGAAATCGGACACCTAAAGTTTGCTCGACGTTCGTACATTTCCACCGAATCGCTAATAGAGACATCAAGCGTTCGTATGTTCCGGCAGAAGGACAAGGAACACTCTCTAGGACGTTCATAAAATGACGCTATTCTGCGAATTTACCAGCGAAATTAGGTTTCCAGAAGTCTACGGAGTTAGTGCAAGAATTGCTTTGTACATTGATAAACGAACATGGGAGATTGTCGAGTACTTATTTAATAGAGATAGTAAATATTTGGAAAAATTATCGTGAACTTAAGACTCGGTAACCGTACTTATTAAAAAGTCGACTATGTCCCTTTCATATGTTTTCGTGCAATTCAGATATTAAAATGACATAAGCGAGATATAACATTTCAAACGTACGTATGAAGGAAACTTGTATCAACAAATTTATAAGCAGCGTTGCGAAAAATCTGAAGGATTTCGATTTTGTTTATATCTCGTTTCTCAGTCGAACATCCAAAACTGAGGACAGTGGAAATAAATCCACATGCGTTAATCAGCGATCAAGGCTTATGACGTAGAAAAAAAATCGAGGATTAAAATTCGATCTTCCGAACAGAAGTTAGGGATCGCAAAAGCTGTCGTATTTTCTAGATGGAAATCGCGCAAACGTGACATTCGGTCCTCCTTTCCGGAAAATTCTCGCTGTATCGGCACGATTGCGATAATGGGGATTCGATCGAGTGTTTATACGTCGAAGAGCGCTTTCCTGTTACCGATGCCGACACCTTCTGTTTCAGTCGACGATCTCCGTGGGAGGACGACATCGAGGGAAAACAAGGATCCATACACTAAGAAAACAACCTTCTCTGTCAACGAATCGCGATACCCGATAAACCGTGGACGTACGCCTATACGTGCGGAAATTCCTCCACAAAATATAACCGCAGTTTTTTCAATTTAATTAATATAATTAATCTATTTAACGCAAATGTAACAAAGATCTCACCCCAATTTTTTAAACATTTTTTTTTTTTTTCGTCTTATACTTCCCGCAATTTAAGATTCGATGTCACGATCGAAAATTATTTGTCGCAATTGCTTCGGACAAAGGGCGCAATTACAAACTTCGATACAAGGAATTTCTACTAAAGAATTGTATATTTTATTAAAACCCTGTGATATATGTATCACGATAATATATATGTATGTATGTATATCTTCCTACATCATATGTACAAGTCCCAGAAGTCCCTAACGACTTAAGTACGATGGTAATACTATTGCTAAAAATATTGTATCTATTTCTCTCGTTTCGGCGTCCGCTCGAATGGATGCGACATTTAAGAGAGAAAACGTCAACATCGCTGTTCTAATATTGCAATCCCTCCTTTCCTCAAAATACGTGCCATTTTCGGACGGTTTCCCACTCCATTCCTTATTCTATCGCTTCCTGGCACTAGTCGAAGGGACTATCAAATTTATTCATTTTTTTCTTTTTGATTTAATCACTGGCTCCTTTCGCGAAAACGCACGACGCGTGCAGTGAAAAACAAAAGTAGGATCACGAATAAGACATTGCAAGCGCGACAGTTTTATCAATTTAACCTTGCAAGACAGTTCTGCACGTTAGACACGGTGAATACAATGCATTGATGTTTTTGAAGTGCATAGAACATGAAATTATAATCAGCTGGGCCAAGAAAATAATATGATTAGACAATAAGAAAGATTTTTTAATTATGAACATGGCGAATACAATTTAGTTAGCGCGTGCAACACCCACGGGTCAGTTTTCGCAATTTTTTATCCCTTGAAATGCTCCAACATGCTATTGCCATTGCAGTGACATTATTGCTGACTTTTTTTTCCCCAGTGTACGCAAAGCGTCGTGCGTTTAGTCCGTGTCTATAATGGCACTTCGAGATTCCAGAAAAAAAGAAACTAACGTATACTTATGTACGCGGTCGTAGATGCGATTGCGCGTCACGGAGGCCGAGAGTACGGGGTGTATGTGTATACACGTACGGCTATGTACGCACCTTACGCGGGCGAGTGGCCATATTCGCTCGCACGCAAGTCGCGTGTACTTATATCTACTATGTCAATGTCATCTACGCCTGTACCCGATTCCCTCGAGTATATATGCGAACGCACATTCAACATTCTCGTGTCGCTTCGTGCGGACTGAAAATCGTGAGCACAAAATAGACGGCACACTTCTCAGTGCCGTGTCATGACCGGGGCCTCGAGGAAATTTCAAAGAATTATCGTTAAACATCGAGACGTCGGTTTTATGAGAGAAAAATCTCGGCAAATCGGCAAGCTCCGATGCTACCGAATCGGCCAAAGTTCTTTGACTCGATTGCGTCTATGCCGTCGGATTACTCGCTGTCTAAGTTATGCCGAGGACGTTTAATTAAACCTGCGCAATGGCGGACACGAACGCCTTCCCTGCGAGCATGCGTCATTGGTGTACCACGAAAAGACATATAAGTTCGCCAATGTTCAGAGAAAGAGGCATGGCGGAAAATACAGCAGATTTTGAATATAGACGGCATATTTCGCAGTGCCAGGTCGACGAGGCAAAAATCTCGAAGTACTACCGTTAAACATGGAGATTTTTACTTTATGACAGAAATATGCCAGTAAATCCGCAATGCCTAACGTTACCGAACACTCTACTCTACGAGTAGTTTTATTCATAGCGTCGAATTAATTAAGCACGATTGATTTCATCATATGTCCTTCGCTATGTTAATAACATTTATTTTCAATAATTACGAAGTATGGTAAAAATTACTGCGAATGTGCCACATTGTTTTATACATATTGCTTCGGAATATTTTCTCCGTAAATTTTTATAAATCATGAGATTTTGATGTCGGGTAACAAAGGTAAGGGTCATAAAAAACGTGGCACCGATTACAAAATACCGTCCAAACCGCGAATAGGGGTAAAAATACACCCCGATCGTTAATTAATTATTGCTTACTCTCTCGCGGTATGAAAACGTTCGTTATCGGCACTTTGCCGCCGTGTGTGTTGGATATATAAGGGTTTACCGAAATTAAGGAGAAACCTCGAGACTCGAAGGTTGTGTGCTACATAGAGGCAAGACCCAAGGCGGTCTGTCGGTGCGCATTAGTAAAAGAAGGGTATGAAAAGTAAAATGAACCTGTCCTGCCCTAAAGGAGAATTTATAGCTCCGAGAAGCGCCTCGACCTTCGGTACCAGTCGAGAAGCTAAATGCATTAGAGGCTACAGTTCTTCGTGACAATTATATAAAGTAGCTGCTAAGGTCTACGCGATATACAACTGCTTCGGCAAAGTCCAACCTACGCTACGCTTTTTTCGTACGGTTTGCATTTACGTTTTCGGTAACTTAATTTTAAGTAATATTAACGAGCCTTGAGTTAAGGATGCACGGAAAAGGTGTATATACTGAATCGATTATAAATTCCTAATTAGATTTACTTCGTGCCTATTGTTCCGAAGCAGAATTTCGGATGAGCTTTGGGACATTTTGCAAACAAAATTTGCAGCGGTGGTTGTCACTCCATGAGTAAGTTAATACATTTTATTTGTCGCTACTCTTGTCGACTCTTGTTTTGACGTTCCCCTAATAAAGCTATTCAAAAAAAGACGCTCGGAAAAAAAAATAAACAATCGGACTCGTTCAATTCCTCTGCATTTCGAACACCCTGTACTTCCGAAGTGTTCGGGTGAAACTTAAGGCTATAATAAATGTTCGAATAATCTTCAGGTATATAAAGTATGAGCATGTAAACAAAATGTAATGCTAACTCAAAACCGATCGATTGCAACAAAAAGTTGTTCCGCTTTAAGTACGGTCCTTTGGGCCGAAATTAAACAACACATTTTGTTAGTTTAAAGATAGTATACGTCTAATGAATGTCACTTTTACCGATATTATAATAAACTGTTTATAAAAATGACAATGTATAACGACTCATTCATTAAGAAACGTGATTCAACAAAATGATTGTTTTTGCGACGAAGGTACAATATATAAACGTGGCCAACGAGTTCATAAAAAAATTGATCTAATTCTTCCACATGAAATTATAACTTCTTTAGCTGGGACTTTCCAATCGAATTACCACTTCGGTCCCGGTAATTTGGATGGCGATTAGAAAAGCCCGAGTGCCATGAGTAAATATGAGAAATATACGAAAAATAAAGATCGCGATCAAATCATTCGACATGTTTTCACTGTTAGCCCCTATGATTTCCAAACAAATTTCATCTTTCACCTATCCTTAGCCCATGTGCCAACATTAAAATCTTGCATCTGTGGCTACTCTGCAACGTTAAGACAATGTCCTCATAAAATGATATCCCGTTCACACGATCCACAGATTGAATTATGTATATTCATCCCGAGTACGTGAACTACAGCAGAGAAGAAAAAGTATTGTAATCGCTGAAACAAATCATATCTGGCAGTATCATCGTGAGTTTACGAATTGCCGAAGGATTTGATCCGCGAGTCGGAATACTTATCATAAAAATACGGGATCGAAACTCGTGCAGTCTAAGATATACATTGTACTTAACGATAAGTATCAACGAGGATCGTTCAGTCAGCGTTGCTTCTTATAGGTCGGTAACGGGTCCGGAGAGGCTGGCGTTGCTGTTGCTGGGCGAATCGTCCAAGGAAGGCCCATCGGAATGTCCAGCACTTGAAGAACTTCTGGTATCGGGATCGCTCGAGGAGAGGGCGTCGTTGGTCCCCTCCCTGGGCCTAGCCTCCACCTTGGGGACATTGGGAGGCGTCGACGTAGTTGACGTCGACGTTGGCGTAGGAATCGTCCCGGACGCCACGAGTTCCCGGATGTTCGCCACGGTCTCCTCGTTGGAGGCGCCGTTCATCTTTTTACGGAGTATGCAGACCAGCTTCTCCAGTCTGACAAATCAGGCAACGTATTTGGCCCCGTTTCTTTCCCGACACGATCGAAAGGCATCCTCGTACGGAGCTCACTTTCTTCGTCTTTTCCTCGCGCTCTCGTTAAAGCGGCAAAGCGGCAAAGCGGCAAGGCGGCAAAGCGAAACCGTCAGAGCAAAGCTGTAGCGTAAGTGCCAAAAGCAGAGAATTCATCCGCACATTTCAAGGAAAATTCAGCGTCGCCTGCTTTCAAGAGTTTTCCTCTTGTCCGAGGATAATTCCTCGGCGTGTGCACGCGAGGGACGGATTCGGATTCTTACGCGAATTCTAAAATAAAGTTATCTGCTTTATTTACAGGACGCCGAGGCGCGTTCCCGTCGAGTCTTCGCGTCGTTTCGCAGAGTCAATATTAGGTATCGGTGAATTGCGAAGAATTTGTGAACGCGCGCGTCCGCGTACCGGAATGTCGGGTCGCAGGACGTGCGGAAGAATTTCCACGGCGAAGTACCGTGCGTGATTGTAAGAAGAATTTACGTTACGGGACCGTTGCAATTGTCATAGAAAAAAAGCTCCTTACGTTTGTCGAAGAAAAGATAATCGTTGTTGCAACAAAACGTACTCGCGAAAGGGTCGGTGAATTTCTCGACACAACGCATGGCATAACTCTGTAGCTACGAAAATTCTTTCGTAATTTTGTCCTGGTTTCAAATGTGCAGCAAATAACATTCCGTTAATAAAATTCTTACGAGATTGCGCAAATGTTAAGTAATTATTTTGACGAAGTCTCATGCTTTCAGACAACAGTGCCGTTACGATCGTTCGGCTTGTTATTCACAGAACGTTATCCCCTGGTTCTAAGTACTACATTTTTATTTAGAATAGTTTCGACCCGGGAAACTCTCCCAGTAAAAGGAAGCTGGAAGTCAAAGCTCCATAGCTATTCGTATCTTCAATTCCACGACCCCCGTTCGGTAAACCAAATTTTACATCGATTACAGTTCTCGCCATTCGGCACAAAAAATCCATTCAATTTAAATTTCATCGCCCGGTATTTGACGATAAAACCAAGAGCAATGAAATTAACATAAAGTTCCTGGGATATGAATGGACGAAAACAGGACTAAACATGAAATAAATACGCCTTTCAACGGTCCCAAGAATAAATAAAATATCTTATTGTATACAACATACACATTTTTTTCCGAAAAAGGAATCCGATTTGATTTAACGTGATCCGTCTGGGGCAATTGAATACTTTTCTGATTAGGTAAGACGTGCTCTGGGGACTGTTGTAATTTGTTTAATTTAAGGAACTGGACCTCGAGAATGGGCGGACGAAAGAATATGCTGCAAGCAAAGCGACGTAAGGGATATGCGAGAAAAATAAGAAGCATGCACGATGAGTGAATGAGAAACCTACGTGCTATCTCGATATGCACAGAGTAGCTGCTTAGTAAGCCCATGAGAACCCCTGACGACACGACGACCAAAGTTTGCGGTGCTCGCGCGGACGCAACCCTAAATGTAGGTTGTGGTGTAAGTGGTACGTGAGGGTGCTGTCGGGACTCTGGACGTTAGGACTCGAGTCGAGCAGTTCGGCATCTCGCCACCGTCGATCACGATTACGTCGGGTACTTCGACGATCGATCGATTAACAGTCGATCTGCTGCAAGGCTTCAAGCTCTCACCGGAAGCGTTCTTGGACTCTGGGGATTTGGCGGACCGAGGATCGGTGCTGCTAACAGAGCCAATCGTGTTACTACTGGGGCTAGAACGTGAACCCGTTTCCCCGGGATCTTTTATTTCATTATTTATACTACCTAAAGTCTCTAAGTCAGCGGTTACGAAATTACATCTCCGTAAATTTTCCAAGGAGTCCCTCGATGACTGTAGAGACTGGACGGATCCAGGGACGTTGTCGGTAGAACAGCTGATCGACTCAACATTTTCCAAGTTTGAATTTTTATCAGTTGTGTCTACAATCGGATCGTTCGTCTTGCGAATTGTGCGTTCGATCTCTTGTTTGACCCTGTTCGTCCTCGAGGTGTGTAACGTTGTTGCTTGAATTTCCGTTTCCACATTGATATTTTCGTTAAAACCCTCCGTCGAAGAATGACGTTCGTCGCCAATGTTCTTAGAATTCCTCAGAAGATCGCTCGTCCTCCAATTTAGAGATTCCTGTAATTTGTCATGTTTATTAATACCTCCATTTGCAATTACTAATCTATTATTTTCCGTTATTTTCTCGGCTTTCGTTCTATCCTGCCGAATCGGCGTTTCCGAGACGTTATGTCCAGCTCCATTGATGTTCTCAGAGATTCTAGAATTATTATCTTTGTCAATTCTTTTAACGTTAAGTACGCTTCTTTTTGACTTTTTCTCGGCTGTAGATTTGTCATCGTCTCGTGGGGTTTCACATGCTGCAGTTGTATTTGTCGGCGATGAAAAGTGTCTCCCGCTACTCGAGCTAGACCCGTCTTCCATAAATTTGGGGGAGGAACTCAAAGATGTGCCGTTGCGGGCTCGTTGGTTGCAAGAAGAGGCACTTTTCGCCAAATTTGTGACGATCCGTCGAGGTGGTCCCGACGTTTTCGCGACTTTCCGGGACGGCTGAACCTTTTCTGGAACGCGACTCGCCGCTGTCGATCGAGAGGAGGAAAAACTGGACGTGGACGAGGTCGGAGGTGACGTGGAAGTCGTGGTGGTACGCACGGGGGTGCTGGTTGTACAGGGTGTATCGAAAGTTACAGGCGTGACAGGTCTTGCTACTGCGTTTACGCACTTTGACGCGTGGTGCTCAGCTAGGGTCCTCGAAGCCATGGCCTCCTGAAGCTCTCGACGAAGAGCCAGGACCTCCTCCTCGAAGGCTGCGATCTCCCGACCTTCGTTACTATTCAAGAGTCGCTCCAGTTAATGGTACATTTAGGAACTCGAATTTTCGTAAAACGAAATTGTCAAAGAAATTGTCAGCAGCATCGTAACGATCATAAAATCCTTGCAGAAGTAATTACTGTTAAACCAATAAATTTAGTCGCGCAGACTTCTCTAATTGCGGATGATAATATTATCATTGACTCCGTTTCCACCGCCGACTTGAATTTTTCTTCTTACGGAGGCTGACCAACTGTGTCACTAATAAACGCGTTACCAGAGCAACTAGAATTTTACTCATTTTTTAATTCCAATTCGTATTTCCTCAACTCGGTTAACAGTGGATTCAGTTACTTACTTAGCATGAAGCTTGAGCCCGGTAACCTCTTCCTCCAGCCTGGCGATGCGCTTGTCGCACTCCACCTTCTCCTCCGCCATCTTGTTCAGCCGGCTCTGAAAGCAGAGTGACATTAATTAACGAATTCCGATCGATATAAGAGAATTCCAGCCCGTTTTAACCGGCCAAATTCTTCTTAGGTTCTAAAGGATCATTTTCGCGTAGGAGGTCGCAAGAGTCGAGGAGTTGGTGAAAAGTTCTTGGCGTTCAATTAGTAAATTACGCCGGCAGACCACCATGGCGCGTCGGCCATATTGGCGGGCTGATGAGGCTAATGGATGGCTGAAACCCGAGAAGATCGAGCAAAGAGGGAAAGAGCCCAGCCAAAGGGAGAGGCCCGATGCTCGCTAAGTGCCCTCGTCTCGCCCCACCGCGGAGCTTCTTTTACGGATATGCCGGGGACGAAAACCCTCGCATCGCACGGCGTCCCCGCCGCATATTACACGGCACGGTCACGCTCGACCCGCCTGAAACCCAATCACTTTTCGACGTCACGGATATTTCCTATTACGTCTACATTTGTCCCCCCTCTGTCCTACCCTGCCCTGCCCTTCCCTTCCTCGATAGGAATCGGATCTCTCGCTCACCCGGCTTCCTAATCGGACGATCCCACGAAGAGAATCGTCGACCTCATTGAAAGTGAACCTCGATCGAAGTGCGAGGAATCAAAGAATTAAGGGAATTACGGAAACATAATATATAGGCAATACGTCGTATAAAATAGTTGCGTTGCTTCTTGAACGACATTAATGTTTTCTCTCTTATATTCTTTTCTCAAATGTCCCTTGCACCTCGATGTTATATCTCAGAACTTTTGTTCCCTCATCGGGCGAGTTCGAAATTTCGTTCCAATATACTGGTGTCTCGCTATTATTTATAATTTTTGCAATATATTTACATTTTTATATGTAATTACCTACAGCAATGGATCGATTTCTTGACCGATATAGTTATAATTAATTTGTAAGGAATTCACGAAAGGCAATACATTTTGTTGTTGCTGCTTGCAGAATGAAAAGAACAAATATACTTCTGCGGTCTATCTCTTGGGGTGAATCCCTGGACAGTTAAGTCTTGGTATTGCTACTACCAACATTCACGTAGGTACATATGCGGAACGACCATACGTGAAAAATAAGAGACAGAGCGAGAGAAAGGGAGAGAGAGCGCTCAGCAGTCGCATCACCTGGCGGTCCTGATCAAACATCGCACATTGGGCAAACAATGCCTTCACCATCGTTCTATGGAAGGCTGACTGTCCCAAAAGCGCTTGGACCCTGTGCTATTACCCCGAAGAAAAGAGAAAACCCAGGGAAGAGAGGGAGAGATCGTTTCGCTTTGTTTTCCGTTCCCACATATCCTGAACCATCGATTTTGATCTTAGTCTTAATTTTATGGCTCCACTCTTATATTTCCGGCGGTTTATAGCTAAACCTACGTCAAGAAAATGAAAGATCCTTGACGACCTCGTGTGCTTTCTTTACCAAACTTTAGAGGAAAATTACATTAACATTGCACGAGGATGGATGTCATGCGAATACAAAAAGTATATAAATATGTTACAAAATGAAGAGAACATATTTTGTTAATAATTTTCTGTAGGTAGTTTAAATATCTTTTGTAGGAATGTTTTTCGTGCCGTAGACTTGATATAGAAATGTGAATTCTTATTTATGCCGTGTAAATGATAATTACGTGTTTTTGTTTAGCATATTGTACGTAAAATCCCGAGAAATCAGTATCATCCGAAGTACTCTACTTTAAAACACCGTCACGCGCAATAGTATAGCAGAGATAAGTTGGTAGGATAGTATAGTAGACTTGGAGGTTCACCTTAAAGTTGTGTCATAAAAACTGGCCCATATTCCGGAAACATAATAGGACCGCCGTTCAAAGCACAAAGGAACCGAAATTTATTGCTTATACCTTTTGATTACTCGATCATAAAAAAAAAGGCGAATAAGGTGCACGTATTAAAACCGGAAATGGTTATCTACTGTACAAAATATCCGCATGTATCATCTCGAAATTTTAAGGAATAACTAATTATTCAGAAATTGAATTTTAATTCAATGTCAATGCTACTAGTTTAATGCGTAATAAATTTGTATTTGTATTCATAATTGATAGTAACTTACTCTCAATTCCTCTATCTCTGTAGACTTTGGAATTTGTTTCTCTTCAATTGTAGATGTTACTTTACTTATCAGTATTTCCTCTCGCAATTTGTTTGCATCTCTCATCTCTCGGACAATATCTGAGGTAAATATAAATTTAAATTCATTTGTACATATTGAAAACTTTAACAAAATGGAATATCTCCGTTTTGTGAAGTGGTATGTACTCTTTATAAATGAAGATGTAATATACAGAGTTTATTCAAACATACAGTATTTGTGAATAACATTACCTGTTAGCATTCCAGGCTGATAGTCAGTAGAGTTACTGTGTTTAAATTGTGCCAGTTCAGACTTAACATTTTCCAAATCAGATTTCGTTTCATGTAATTCTTTAAATAATTGGCTGTTGCTTTCTTTAAGTACAGTCATCTAAAATCATACCATATAATATATTAACATATAGAAAATGTATGTATTTATTTATAACAACATATACAATATACAGTTTAAATTACAGAACATAGTTCCATGTTTAACAGAAGTATAAACTATAATCAAAATATCTCACCTGTTCAACTAATGATAACACAAGTTTACTGCTACGTCCAATAGTCGTTATTGAACTACCGCTTTCTACACTTGCCGAGTCATCGCTCTGTGAATTATTTGAAGGTTCTGCTGGACCCAAACCAGGATCGGAATACCTTCTATGTTCAGAACTTAATTCTTCTCTACCATTTGCATTATCATTATTAGCGGTTGGTGGTAAACTGGCATAATCTCCATTTTGATAGCCACCAGATACTGAACAATTTAATTCATTTTCTTGTAAACTGGAATAACCATTTGTTAAAGGATGTCCTCCAATGTGACTTCCCATTCGATGAGATTGAACAAAATTTCTTCTAAGCCTCCCACGAAGAGGCCTGTAACTAGGTCTTGGAATTGGTTGAAGTAGTTGGTACACAGGTGGTAAAGATACAGGCTCCATGGTATACGTCATAGGCATTGCAGAATATCCGCAAACACTTGGGTCCGACATCGTAGCAAAGAGACGCTGTCCATTGGAAGCTACCAATTGTTGTTGTACCTCTGGTTGTTGCCAAAACATATGAGCATATTCCATACCTGACACTTGTCCTCCATCCTGTTCAACTTGTCTGTCATTACCCCAGCTACCAGTCGAGTTCTTCCGATTACTCCTTTTCTTGTTCTTTCTTAAATGATTGCTAGAATTTGGATTAGATGACCCTGATTTTAAGACGTGTGACCTGCAAGGAACTTGTCTTTCTTATCAAGAGAAGCTAATCAAGTGCAGGTCATTGAAATAGAATTGGTTTGATAATAATGTAAGACTCTTACCTTTTGTTGTCCATTTTTGTGATCCTCAAAAATTATCTCTTGATAATTTCAAGTTAAACAATTGTGGAGTAAGTACGAAGGGCAGTTCATGTGAAAAATTAAAATGTTCTAGGCAAAAAGGCACAAAGCATACGTCCCCTCTTCCTTAATGAAGTCTAGTGACGTTAGAGACGTCACTGACGTTCCGCAGATGTATCCATTATCGTAAATAAAATCTAACAAAGTTCAACACACGTTTATATCGGAATGTTTCAACAGAAAGTCGCAGAAAGTGGTCATAGCCTACGTTTTACAACTTTCGTGGAGTGAGTCCCAATTGGACCCTGGCCATTTGGACACGACACAAAGATGGCGGCAAGGTGGCTGGCTCACAATAATGGACACCGGTTTCGTGTCTAGATAATCTTTCGAAACGATAATTTTTTTATTAATTTCGGTAGCCTATAAAAATTGTATCTACAGTATAACTCAACTCTTGAGCACCCACGTTGTAATTTTGCCTGTATCATTTGCGGATAAAATAAATGAAGTAAGTGAAGGGTAAAGTCAAAAAGGGCGCCACGAGTGTTCTTCCCTTACCATCAAATGCGAGCAGTGTTGGTAAACGTAGGTAAGCCATCACCGTCAACTGCCGCATGGTATTACCATCACGAGTACGTGAGCCGCTAGCGGCGATTGGTAGATGGCACCGCCATCGCGAGTGTGCGAGCCCCTACCAGAAATTCGTTGCGCCGCCCTTGGGGGCAAAAACGATGAAAGCTAACGTGCGAAACCAGAGGGCAGCACAGAATGCGATCGCGCGAACCTGCACGTAAGCAATCTCCCAACTAATCTCTGGTCAGTGGTGGGGTATGGCGGCCACGGTCGATGATTAGTAGGTGCTCCAGCTGGCACTGCTTGGAACGGTTACGCGCGCCACCATCAGCACCGCCGAAAGATCTAGAGACTGGGCGAACGGAGCAAGCAAGTAGTGCACCTGTCAAGGAAAATCGATCAAACGCAGGTGTCGCGGTGGACCCTCGGCCGACTTCGTGCTGTACGGTGATCTTTGGAGACTATTGCCGACTCTGCTACCGTACACTGGTAGGGGGGCTGAGGGAGTCTCGTAGAACACGGGGGCGGAGCGGCGCATCAGCGGATGGCGGCTGTCAACTGATGGGCTCGGTCTATCTCTTTCGGCGCGACGCTTCTCTCAGATGCTCCCTGAACTCCTCGACATCCAAGGGAGGCTTCCTTGAACCTTCTATGACTCTACAAGCGTAACGTCCACCTTTATGACATCTGGAAAAGAGACCATGGGGTAAGTGGACATCCGTGGAACGCCTTTTAAGGCCGTGCATAAAGGGCGTACCGGATGATATTGCAACCTTTTTGCGTTCATCGAATCCACCGCAAGAATGAAGACGCCCGAAGATATTTGCCCCTGTAATTGTCTCTATGGAGCCCGCCCTCTTAGTACGTAATGTTAATTTCCTGTACATTGCTCCTGCTGCACACATTCTCAATTGCAGTTGTATATGGGGTAAATGTCTTTTTCTTATTACATGCATTATGTGAATTTACCAGATTTGATACTAGGGCCATCAACCTGTAATCATTTCTCTATAGTTCACCAATGCTCTCTTTTACAGGACATGTAACGTGATTATGCTATTTATAATGTTCAAAAGGTAGCATATTGTAATTAAAAATGAACCCTTTTTAATTTTAGAACTTCATGCTCCAGGTGTGAAATGTCTCTTCATTCCATTGGAGCATCTAAAATCTATCACGTTCGTGTTTCTGTTGAGAGGTAGCGGTTTATCATCCTATCTTAACGTTCGGTTTGAAAATTTGCAACAATGATATTATCTAATGAGCAATGCTTAATTTAAATGAAGTGTTAATTATGATTTCATATATAATGACTAATTTTTTTCATAGCAGAAACGTGTTGGCTTAAGAAAAAAGATAGGTTGGATGTTGTATAGTTGTATCTTTAAAAAATAGATAAAATTTATTGCAGGAAGATATTTAAATGATTGCAATAATTTGGAACGATCCAATGCACTTGTGTATGGACAATAAGTAGAAACTACATATTTCTATTATGATTTAAAAATACTTGCGATGTCTTATTAATTATTTAAACATGTTAATCTAAATTTAAGTCTTTTAAAAATTATTTTGTCAATTTCTATTAACTGTGTAATTTTTTAATATTAATTCCAGTGAACAACCAATTTTCACGTGCAAAGCGCACGTCTTTCATATCGATCCTAAGACCAAAAGATCTTGGGTTCCAGCATCTACAGCAGCTGTATCAGTGTCGTTCTTTTACGATTCAACCAGAAGTCTCTATAGGATCATCTCTGTTGAAGGCAGTAAGGTAAAATAGCAACATATACATAAATAGAGGATTAATTTATAAATCCAAGTAAGTTTTATTTGTATATTTATAAGTAATAGGTCTTAGTGTAATTACTGTTGTCATTATTTATAATAAATAATTAATACTTTGTTCATTAACTTAGGCGGTAATAAACAGCACTATTACACCAAATATGACATTCACCAAAACCTCTCAAAAGTTTGGCCAATGGTCAGATGTCAGAGCCAATACGGTTTATGGTCTTGGATTTTCGTCTGAAGCTGAATTGGGGAAGGTATGGGTTTTTTTGTATATATTTTGATTTTTTTTTTGCAAGCAACAAAATCTTTTTCCACGCTTCATTTTATATAGTAGTCATGAGTGGAATATTTTATGTGTACACAATGAACGTTTAACCCCAATTTCATTTTTGAACAGTTTATTGAAAAGTTTCATGAGGTGAAGGAAGCCACAAAGATAGCTGGTACCAAATTGCAGTCGAACAGCTCATCGGTAACGCCTGCTACTAGTGCTAATGTCAGTCCTATAACTTCACGATCTGGTATGCCTTCATCGGAGCAAGACCTCATCGATCCACCCAATTCTTCAATGATCAGTTCCAATGTATCGGCATCGAATAATCCAAATCCTAATGCCAACATGATCTCAGCTCAGAATAGCGTGTCTTCGGTAAGCAGCAGTCCATTACCTGGCAATTGTCAGAATAAAGCTGATGACGAATTGAAAAGTACAGTCCATTCAAGATCGCAAAGTATTTCTCAGCAGAGTACAGAGAGCCCACAACATCAAGGAAAGTCAACACAACTTAACACAACGCAAGGTGGACAAACAACAGAAATGCATCTTAAGTATGAGAACGACAGGCTAAAATTAGCTCTTGCTCAGAGTTCTGCGAATGCAAAAAAATGGGAGGTATGCTCAATTATGATACATATATACTTTTCTAGTATATGGAACTTTTTAGCAGTAACTTTCATATTAGTTTAATAATAAGAGGTCTACTTTAGTATGTTTTTTTCTTCTTTTATAAAATAGTGAGTATGATGAGTACATTTCTTAATTGATCTTACTGTGTAAGCAAAAAATATAATCAATGTTTATATCATTCTTAGTACAGACGTTAGAAGGCTGTAAGTAATGTTCTGCTTTAGGTCGAGTTAAGTACATTGAAAACCAACAATGCGAGATTAACAAGTGCCCTACAGGAATCCACTGCCAATGTGGATGAATGGAAACGGCAATTGCAACTTTATAAGGAAGAAAATAGTAGGATAAAAACAAAATATGCGGATTTAGAAATTAGCAAAATTGCGGAAGGCAACAGTGAAGCACTGAGGCTGAGAGTTGAAGCACTGGAAAATGAATTAAGGACACGAAATGAAGAAATCAAAGGACTAACGATGGTGACCAAAAATAAAGACATTGTGGTATGTATTAAAAATTTCTTAATGTCAGCGAAATTGTTATGAGTACAATTTTAAATTTCGCAGGCACTTCAAAAAGAAAATGCAGAACTTCGTGAAATGTTAGACGTAGTCCATGAACAATTAGAACTTGCATTGAGTGCAAACAAAGTCCAAAAACAAAATTTGGATACACTAAATGCCAGATTAGCAGGCTATATACAGGATTTGGTCACGGTGCATCGAGAGATTACAAACACGTTGCAAACTTAAATTATTCTTAGATACGTTTTGGATTCTTCCTATTGTACACCCTATGTTGTAAGGGGAGTACTATAAAGGGCCACGTTCCAAAAAAACACATATCGTGAATATGCGGTTTTTAAAACTAGAAGCCTGTAAAATATTTTATATTGGTTTTTCCAGCGTTACAATTTTAAACGTTCGATCTTGTCGAGACCAAATGGTACTGTCTTTTTTAAGATAAATGAACTGAGACGTTACTATCAATTGTAAACCCTTTTATTTAACATACTTTGGCTGTATGTTCTTTAATGTTTTATTGAATTTGCAATTTATTCGTCACTAGAGCTTCGTATTTTTTACAGTATGTTTGTAATTCCAGTATTTTATAGATTATACTGTTACACGGACACAAACGTGACATCTATGAAAATAAATAAAAATGCTCAGAGTTATTTACAAGCCGCTTATGAAGAGTTATGAAACATATCTTAAGCAATGTAATTGATATAATAATATTAAATATGTCTTTTTTTGGAACTGCTCTCTCAGAAGAACAGATCACAGGTAACCACGAGCATGATCTTTAAAGAATGCACAATCGGAGGTAGAATCTCGTGGCGACGAACAATTTCTTGGGACAATTATATAACGTAATTATATGTTCATACCGATCCGTTGTTTATAACACATCTATATTTACAGTATATGGATACAATCGATTGAAGAGTGTTTGGCCTGACTATTATTCAAGTGATATTTCAGAAGCGATGTAAATTAAAATGTAAAGATGTTTAGAGATCGTTTGAGAGCATATTCGCTATTTAAAGTTAAAGACAGCTGTAGTGCTGAGTACTGTTTAAATTAGGATATATTTATATTTATATGAAGTACTGTTTTTAATCGATGTCGGGTGGCAAAAAGAAATAAACAAGAGATGTTTTAAATCGTTCCTGTATAAATATCTGGGTACACACGTGGTTACAATATGTTCCAGTAATTTGTGAAACGAAATAGTTCGCACATCGATATTCAGCTTATGTACCTACGGAAGTCTAACACGCAATTGTAATGATTATTGAGTTTACAACTTTAGGCCCAATATTCTTCAATAATCGAGTATTTATATAGCACTTGTCAATAAAGTTATCACTCGCACAATAATTTTGGCCAGCCATCGTAACAGCGCAAATGAAGTTAATTGTCGCTTTTTTTACGAGTAATCTGTCAAAGCTTTAGCATTGTAGCATTTTTACAACGCGCTGACATTAACTGTTGCCATATGCGCATGAGGGTCTAGAGCGAAGAATAGGGATCAAAAGGAGTTTTCAAGTTGAGGAATTGGAGTCAAAAGCCTTGCATTTCATGTGCAATCCACGTAATGAAATAATTACAGAACGCTTCCATGTTTGTACTAAAAAGCCTACAGACTCTGAATCTTGTCATTGAGACTGACAAACTTGAGTCCTGTAGTCAAGTAATCATTTCGGATCGTGTATTTGTATTTTATTTCAGTATTGTTAAAGATATTGAACATTCAAATTATTTCAGTGTAAATTATTTTCAACTATAAAAACTTGCTGACATTTTAATTGACTATTTCGCTATTAAAAAGTTCAGTACACGAATCCGAATATTTAAACAATTATCGAACGGTTCCTTGATCGTCGTCTTGCTTACTGCGATAGACTTTCACTTGCGATATTTTTTGGTAATGATTCACACTGCACGATCTCTTGTATCAAAAGGGCAAACAGTTTACATCCTCGTATCTCGAATACATAATGAACAGACCTCGAAAAAGAGATACAAATCGCATCGCACACAAATAAGCCTTATAACTAGTTTGAACTGCTCAGAAAATCAGTGTACACCTAGTCGAGAAAATGTGTCATTATACAGTTTTTTAAAATTATTTTGACGGCGATACCCGTCTGACTAAGATAACTGATAAATGTAGGGAGTATTCGTTTTCCGAGCATCGGTTACTTTTTCATTGATCGAGTGCTCATGACAATATTTTCGGATTTTGAAAAAACATTTGATAGATTTATTTTTAATAATTATCCCGAAGCCCTGATAGTACATCTTGTACGTGATACCAGAGTTCACGTGACCTGTGAATGCTCACGCGTTGTAGTATTTTAATTTTAATAATAGTTTTAAGCAAGACACGTAGATAATTAGAATAATTTTCAGTCGATCTGTATAAAGTTATGCATTTTTATTATCGAGCGGTACATGGTTGCCGTTGATCTGATACGTAAAATATTTATATGTATACCAAAAACTTGTATTCTTTCATTGGAAACGATGAAAGTGGCAACTTGTATGAAGTTTTATATTTATATTGCATGATACATTGAGTGTTTACCAAGCCGAGGGTTCAAGAAGTGGTCAATAGCATATTCGATGTAATAAAACAGTTGGATTTCACTTCTTGTAGTCCTAGAGTTTATGTTTATGGTTACTTTATTTAACATTTCATTTGGTGCCATAAATTCGGTAATGTTGCTCTGTTTAATACAAGCCATGAACTGAGATTCGATTTGTAACTTTTGTCTTTGTCGCTTTCTTAACCTAATTTTTTTAACCTAAATTATTAAGTTTCATTTGATCTGCTGTAAAAAAAATTGCAAGAGAAGCAAAGACAAGATGCCATGTAAACATTGTGTTAAACAGACTTCTCATGATTTTAGTACAATTACAATTTTAGTTGGCGTTATTAGTCGAACTAAGATTAATGATATTTATAGAATTTGTATAACGTCCATTTGTAACGTCAATCTTTTGTCCACTCTTGACGGTATAACAGCTGTTAAACTATCTAAAGTTTCATAAATACAAGTACAATATTAAAACAACCGTATGGGAAGTCCGAAGATATAGACTTTATGAATGTAAGTCTAGTCGCCCTAGCTTTTGTCAAAAAAAAGTCAAGAGTTGGATGACGACTTCTTTTAATACATAGATTGAGTTATCTTTTAAAATTCTGTAATGTTAGCTTTTATATCGGTCACTATGAGAAGTTTTTATACTCGCTTTTTGTAATTATTGCATTGCAAAATGCATTGAAATGGACGCATTTTCTCTTATAATGAAAGGCGATCTGTAAGCAAGGATAGATTTTGTTTATAAATAAATATGATTTATTTCTACTCCATGAAACAGTACCTATAACCCATGGAGGTATATGGATATCAGTCGTCATCAATTTTTTTCATAAGTTTGGTTTTCAATTGACTGATTTATTTTACGATTTTTGGCTTTATTTAATGTAGAGTGAAATTAATATTGGATCGAAGGACTAGAAATGTGATAGTTAATAGTTTTCGCGAGTACTTCCGATGAGAAGTAATAAAATATTGGTAAGGAGTGGTCAAAAGAGAAAGTATTTCCCGTTATGCAAATAATTTTGCGGCATGATTATAAGCGTGTTTAAAGAACGATGAATTTCCGATAGCTCAAAGAGCTATGGTGCACTTTGCCGGACGATATCGGACGACCGATTTTGATAAGTGAAACGCACCGTGCATTAAGATGATAATATTACGGTTGTGACGAGTTTCAAACTTTTCCGAGGCACAAGGAATCTAGTCCAATGAATTGACTCGAACCTGGTAGAAATTGCGGGACGAATTATTGTACGCCATAAGGATTTCGTAATATTGATTAGGTAGACTTGTTAAGTCCGAATAACTTTGCAAATAATATTAATATTGAAGCGATAGAATATTAATATTCTATGTAATCGCATTATAAATAAGTATGTAAGTAATATACGATGATTAATTCATATGAGTAAGCAGTTAGAGGGACACGAAGGAGGAGAGACGAGATGCGTCTGTTTCGTTGATCTTCGTCAAATTATAATTGTACAGAGTACATTCGCTGCGACGTCGCGGTGATAACTATCGATACTTCACTATACATAGATAGACAATTTCTATAACTAACCGGTGTCTCTTATCACGAGTTCAGCATTCGGAGCGCGCTAAACGACGTACGGAATACTTGTGAGACCGCATCTTACTACAGTTTAGAGTATTTCAAAATATTAACGACAATTCTTTGTAGGTAGTCGAGTCCGATTAACGAAATACTCGCTTTTAAAACTGAGGAATATACCGTAATTGTCGATCTCAAGGTACTGGCGATGAAGTGGAGTAGTACTTAGCACCGTTTGAAACACCTTCAATGCTAAAAACCGAGAGAGTGATTATAAGCTGAGTTGAAAGCACGGTTAAAACTATATATGAAGGAATTTTTTATGAGTATATTGAAAAATCATATTTTATCTTTTCTATTTTTCTGTTAATAATTTCCGATGAATCCCTAAAGGAACGCTTAAATATATTCCTTTTTAAGTCAAATGACAATGTAATTCCTTCCTTTTTTTAAGAATTTCTATCAGAGCCTTTTTTTCAAGACTGATTCCTTGTCAATACCTCTGGGGTCTTTCTTAACGCGCTGGCTTCCAATCCTCAATGTTAACTTCAGTTTCTTTTTTGAATTCATCGCTTAAACGATTAGCATTTGGTTAACAATTGTTATGACTTGGAGTGCTATTTAGTGCTAGGCACATTAATTGTGACACCAAGTAACTATATTAATGTAACAAGGTTAAGAGCGCACACTTGTATATGGTAGCCAACGCGTTGGGAAGCTAGGTAGATTTTGACACTGAAAATGCGAGATTTTGCAATAAGGGGACTTATCATCAACTGTACGGTCGTTTTGTGAACCGGTGTAACTAACGATTGAGAAAAGAGTAACCGTCTAGAGAAGGAAAAAGAGCAAGATTTATGGATCCGTTGTATTGTACAGTGAGATGATATTGCACGTCGATCATTTCAATGAATAAAATAGCGATAGTTTTTGAGGTCGTTTTTATTGTGTACGCTCACTAACTTTCTCGAGAGAATTTCATGGACGCAATTCTTCAAGTTCCTCCACGGTTACCACGGAATAAGCACAGTAAACCTGTCGGTGAATATTATGTACCGTAAAAGTAATATTTCCGATTTATTCGAAGAAAAATGGATTTGTGGTTACAAAGAAATGAATTCCACTATATGTGTACATATATTTATGCCACGATGTATACCGTTCTCTTTTCCTTCATTTTGTCAATAGACTTCTTTTATGAAATGTTTATTATATTTCTCCGGAATATTTTAAGGATTAAAACGATGTGTTCAATGNATATATCAATTTCCTTGTATTACGTTTGTCGACGCATAAACGCATTGACATTGCATTTTTTATGGATGACTGATACAGGAATATTTTTTTGTCAAATATTTCTCCATTTTGGAAATTTATATTTCCATAACTTCACTTTTCCATTCGTCGGTGTTATTGTTAACGAATACACGAAACGTTGTGACGTAATATACGAACGACGACGACTATGGAATGTTTTAAGTTACAGAATGTAATGAATACAGCTGATAAGACAAATTATTGTATAAATATTATTGATAATCTGCAATGATAAACTCAAATGTATTCAGTACAATTACTTTACAAATATATTTACACAGTTCTCATATGTCACAGAAGTGTCATTACCGAGGTGACCGTTAAAGTAATGCGATCATTTCTCGTGACTCAGTCCTTTTATTGATCTCTGTATGCTAGGTTCGAGATAGAAAAAGAAATGATATTATACGTTGGCGGATGCATAGTGATTATCAGTTACTTTTATTTTATACTGGGTCGATAGCAGTCCTCTCGTAAAAATGCGGAGCTAATTCTATCAACCACTCAGGTTGTACGACAGTTAACTCCCTCATAAAAGTCTTATTTGTCTGTAAAACCTCGCAGAAGAGAATCCTGAAATGAATAAATTTGTTAGGCACTCAATTTACTATCAGAAATCAGACGTGAGGTGACACTTAAAACTGCAGACTAATTTAATTGCTCGTTATATTCCCAATCAATAGATCTATTAAGTAATGGCAAAGGGAAATTATTTGACAAAATGTTTTATTTGACTCCATTAGAAATTTGTGGAAATTTTAATAGGATGCTATGATTTCCTTTTTTTCACAATTAATAGAATATATAAGTTTTGAATTTCTTTATCGTAATTTGAAAAAAATGTAAGAAATGTAAATTACATTTCCGATGAGCTGTATACCATAATTAACCCTTTCGCGCTTCGCGCCGGTTATATCCGGCATTCACTAAATGCGACATTTAAAAAATGTATCATACACAAACATTACTACATTATATCTAGCAATTTTGTATGAGACCCTCTTAATGTGTACGGTATACTCTGATGGCTAGTCCCGCGGTCGCGAAACGGTTAATTAAAAACCAATTTAGAATACATCTCGTATAATTCTGCTCGATTCGGTAGAAAATCGCTACCGAATAAATTATGGAAAATGATGTTTAGTCACGACGTTTACCATACAAAGTTTGCCACCTAAATCTTCATGTAAATTGTAAGATGTACAGTTTCAAGTACCACCTAATGTCCTGATTTTCTTAATGGTAAAGAATGATTTATTGCTATTTTTCAGTATTATATACCATTGTGGCTGCTGTAGCGTGTAAAGACAACTATTAGGATGAATATATAAGTCTCTGTTGCCCCTGACCGTCTTGTAGACCCCCGTGTAGTGTAGGTATGCCGCATTGGGGAAGAGGCCAGTTGTTATGCATCTAAGAACCTGTTGCGTGTTTCCTGAAGGAAAGTAATAGATTACAATGCGATCAATAGTAAGCAATAAAACATAACTCGAAACATGGGAAATCTCCCTCAAATCTTTGTGTATACCATTCGACGAGGCAACTGGTATGTCCAGTTTTTTTAAGAGCTTTCGCATTTGGACCCTAATTTCTGTAGCTCTGCGCAGCGCCTTGTGATTCAGAAAATGTTTTTGACACCAACCAGTAGACTTGTTTTTCTCGAAAGCGGTATAAACATTGAGCAACGTGATTAGATCTCCTTCTTCGACTTCGAATTTCCGGTGGGCCACTCGAGATTTTAATGCTGCCTGACCGCCGAACGGTCTCACGAATACATTTTGAACTTGCAGCATAGACAGTATAGTTGTGATTTCCTCTGAGCACTCCATCTCACCTGTAAAACGTGTCAAGCGACGATAATAAGGATTAGATGAAGAAACGGAAGATAACTTGAGGTACCATTACAGAACGTACATGACAACTAAATTAATTACACTTGGAGTATATTCCTTTAACACTTTGGCTGCGAAAGGTGTACGTATAATGTCCAACACGTTCGGTCTATTACTATTATCGGTACGCGTTCACAAATTTCGCCTATTTGTTTAAAGGGCATAGCAGTCAAAGGGTTAAGAAAAATTCCAAGCGTAATTTAAATTTTAATTGGTTTGTATATAGCTTGTAATCCCTGTTAGAAGTTTTGGCTTTAAAAAAATTCTCTGTATATTCTCGTTAAAGAACATCTAATTGAGAGGAAATATATTTTACTATTAGTTACTTTTTCAAACATTTTACATGTGCAAGGATAATTGAATGAACAATGGAGATCCGAATCAAATATAGTTTTATATATTCGTAACTGATTCACCGAAGCATCGTGATAGCTAAGCTGTTCATATGTTCAAGATTGTCAAGGGTCCAGAAGGCGGACTTCATGTGAGACAAATCTTTATTTCTTACCCGAGGCGATGAGGCATTTTGAGAAGACAGGATCCAGGGGCATTTCTGCCATTGTAATACCCACGGGACTAGTCAATTCTCCTTTGCTGTCAACGGCGCCCAGGGCGTAAAGCAATTCTAATCCTGAGAGAAGATGTTTGCTCGGCGGTGAAGATGGAAAACTAAATCGTAGGACGTTGTCAATTCCCAGGGCTTTCAATTGCAAAATTGCGGGTGCTAAATCGGCTCGCTGCATCTGCGGCGGCGTCGACTCGAAGAGCTGCTCGTAAGCCTCTTCCGTGTAAAGTCTGTTCAAGAAGTTACTTCTTCAAGTTACCTTAATTACTTCAGTTGGATATTTTACGGAATAGTCGGCCAATCGCTGAAAAACTTACCTATACGTTTTCCCAGATCGAACTCGACCTGCTCGACCTGCTCTTTGATTTGCCGAAGCTTTTGAGACAGGAGCAACGATCAGGCTGTTGGTTTGAGTTTCTACCTCGAACCAAGGTACTTTCGCAAAACCGCAATCAATTACTGTGGAATGAAGAAAGAAAACTTAACAGATATTCTCCACCAACATCGTATTTTCTAATAAATAGAATTCCTACTCACCGAAAACGACATTAGGTATCGTAATGGATGTCTCCGCAATGTTAGTCGCGACGATCACTTTGCGGGTATCCTTCGGTGCCCTCCAAAAAACTTTCAATTGTTCCGAATTTGGAAGTGAGCCATACATAGGCAAAGGCATTAATTTTTCTGTAAACATGCATGAAAATAAAATCTTCATGAAAATACGGCCAGTTCGGTATAAATAACATCACTATCGTTTTCACAACGTTAGGGAAATCGTTACTGTAGTATTCTGATTATATATAGGAAATTCGAGCCACCGACGAGATGTTACCACCGAGTTGCACTATAAAAAACAGTCGAACAAAATTCTCTTTTCAGCACAAAGTACGAAACGTTATCCGCGCGTTGATAAACGTTGTGAAGGGAATCTAATCTATGTAATTTCCTCCCGCATTACCGATAGACATGCCCCTGATATGTGAACTACATGTGAACCTTATAGAGAAAATGAACAGAGAATAAAATTATTATGAAGATGCACACGGCTGAGCCTAATCATAGATAAATATCATTCTTCATTTACGTTTTCCTTCCTTAACTAGTTTGGCATGTTCGGATAGGAGAGAGACGGCCCGATCAACTTCTTCCATTCCTGTGAGGAAAGCCAGAATGTCTCCTTCCTCCTCGTTTTCGTGTATCTTCAAAGTCGTGTCTACAACTGCATTGACGTAATCCGCTACCGGATCTGCCATCAAACGAATGATTATTTTTTTTAAACGTAAGCATATTATCTAGGCGCAACAGGATCTTATCTGCTACCTTGAACGTAAAAGATGTCCACAGGAAACAGCCGGCCTTCCACGCTCAAAATAGTGGCGGTATCCTTGGTTGCGTCCTTTGTCGTATTTGTATTAAAAAAATCCCGAAGTTCCTCCGCATCCACGGTTGCCGACGACACGATCACCTTCAGGCTCCTACGTTTCTGTAACGATTGACATTTCAATTTACATATAGAAATAAATTTCCGTAATGATATTACTCTCAACAAACGACCATCGTACGTTCTTGACCTTACTCATTTTCTTAAACTGGTCGTTTAAAGGTCTTATCAAATATTTAAAACTTTTATGTGATTATATAACAGAAAATAACCTTTCACTTTTTTGATCAAATTACATGTATGGTGCACAAGACAAGAAATGTAATTTTTTCTCATGAATGTAATTAACTAGGAAATTAATTCCACGATTAATCAGGCAATGATACATCGTGCATATATCTTTACATGAATATGTTATTCTGCTTTATCATTAACCCTTTTGCTTCGGCTGTCCAGTCCGCCGAAGTGTCGTCACCGTACGGAAGCTCGTGCTCACAGGTCGCCGTGTGGTTGCCGGATATATCCGGCGCTCGTACGCACAAGTCGTCGCGCGGATGCCGGATATATCCGGCGCTCGAAGCGTAAGGGTTAATGATAAATTCTTACAGCAAACAGCTTACCCTGAGTATTTTCTTCAGTAGTCCCATGATTATGTCCGTCAACAAAGTCCTTTCATGAACTTCATCCAAAATAATAACGCAATAGTTAGTCAGCAATGGATCACTCATCATTTCCCGTAACAAAATACCCTCGGTCATGTACTGTAAAATAAATATTGAAATTACTTTATACCCTCCAGAGAATTAAGTTGCGTTGTAAGTCCCTTACAATTTAACTGCTTCGTGATTAATGCAATTAAGGTATACTCTTATAATGATAAAACTTCTGATTGATATTTCCACTTGAAGTCATAAATTAACCGGTTTGCAAATGCAAATTGTTTAACTTTATGAGACACAAGAGCAATTTCATTAGTCGGAAAGTATTTCAATGTAACATGCAATGTATGGAAACATTAATCCTTAAAAAAGATCTGAAAGAGTCAGCCTATATACCTGAGAAGTCAAATCGTTGGGGACAGTATTCTCCGAATTGGGTGTACCGATTCGATTTAAATTTTACTACGTGAATATGGAGGCTATAAAACAGGTCCTGAAACTCATGAAATTTCATTTTTCATCCAAAATTTATTTATTTATCATGGACTGGAACCAACATGACGTGGTCCGGGTACGTTTTCGATGTTTTTCGCTTCTTCGAAGCTTAGAATCGAAAATGAAGCGTTTCAGGACCTAGCTTTAACAATTTACAATAGCGTAGGAATGGAATATCACAGAGTTAGAAGGAAAAATGTGGTAAATACTTTCACCAACGATTGCAAGAGAATGCTGCGTAAACACGTACTTTTAGAGCAAAAATTTAGTTGCAGCTAAACGTCACAGATGGTGACGTTGGTTCGTAAAAATATATAAACAGTCATGAATTCATGGGATTTCGACAGTTGTACATCGATCTGTTTATCATTATTTTACCGAAATGACATATGGAACCCTTCAGTTCGTATAGTTCCCAACGTAGACTATAAAAGAGTTCAACATAAATAGGTAATGGGACGCACCAGCTTATGTTTACCACTTGGGTATTCAAAAGGGCATTATCACCAAAAAGGGTACAGATTAAATTTCTTAGCGCCTTTCATATCCTCCTAAAGTATTTAAACGTCCATTTGGTAGAACGTGTTCTACTGATATACACTTAGATTAAATTTTTTTTCTTGCCATATCTTTGATTTTTTAATTAAATATTCTTGAGTACGCGTAATCCGAATAATAAAGCTAATTATTGGTTGACGGTGTCGCTAGTACTTTGGTAGTACTTGCTCTTCGAGTATCGACCTTGATCTTTGTGGTTGCATCCGTGCAGTCGTCGAAACGAATCGAGTATCCTATTTTGGTGCCAAGTATGCAATTGCATTCGTCGGCCACGCGGTTTGCTAAAGATGTGGCTGCGACTCTTCGGGGCTCGGTAATGCCAACCATTTTCCCATCGGAACCCCATCCCGCCTCGATTAGGTACTGAAAAATTGCCAAGGCAATAAGGGTTACAATTGTCTCTTGATTATTGCAATCAAAGTTACCACATACGATAAAAAAGGCGGAATATAATTACTGCGTCTAACAACATTCAAGGCCGTATATCAATTTATTTGAAATTGATCTAATCTGTAATTTCTACCTTCGTGAAACGTTAACATGATAATCATTTGGACAAATTTTTGCGTAGTTTTATGTAGCTGATATTATTTTACCTAGGCGACACGTGAAAGATTTCCATGATTTTTACTACCTTTTTTAATACGAGTTTTCTACTATGTATGTATGTACGTATAATGGCACAGCACGATGGTCGTTAATTGAAATGCAAACTGTACGGAAGATACCCTGAAAGTTCTGGGTCATATCCCGAGCTATACCAATGCATGCAGTACTTTATATTGAAGAAACATGATCGGAAATCCCGTTAAGGGATATCGAGTACATAATGAGATTTTCTTTTTTTAGACCAAAATACATTTACTCGACCCGGCTAAGTAGATTGAAATTAAATTGTTAAAGTTCCAATAACTAAGAATGCAAGAATACGGAAGTCATTAAGGGGGAATGGTATGATTCAAAAAAGCCCGAGTTGACCATCCTGCCACGCAACGGCAAGCAGACAACTGTCGAAATCCCATAAATTCATTACTGTTTATATTTTTACGAACCAACGTCACCATCTGTGACGTTTAGCTGCAACTAAATTTTTTCTCTAAAAATACATGTTTACGCAGCAGGCCAGCATTCTCTTGCAATCGTTGGTGAAAGTATTTACCACATTTTCCCTTCTGACTTTGCAATATTCCATTCCTACGGTATTGTTAATTGTTAGAGCTAGGTTCTGAAATTCTTTATTTTCGATTCTAAGCCTCCAAGAAGCGAAAAACATCGAAAACGTGCCCGGACCACGCCACGTTGGTTCTAGTCCATGATAAGTAAATGAGTTTTTGATGAAAATTGAAATTTCATGATTTTCAGGACCTATTTTAGAGTCTCCATATTCACGTGGTAAAATTTGAATCGAATCGATACACCCAATTCAGAGAATACTTTCCCCAACGATTTGACTTCTCAGATATATATAGACTGACTCTTTTATACCCTCTTAAAGTGCCGTCAAAGTATCACGGTTACTTCTGGGGATCGAGTAGACTGGAAGATAGAGATACATACACTCTAGAAATTAGAAAAAAATATATCGACCGTATCTATAGGCATACAAAACGAGAAATTTGTTGATCTAACAACGTCACAATAAAAAATATGTAAATGACACGACGCAATGCACGTCGAAACGGCCGTGTGTCCGAAATTGCATAAATTAAGGCGTTATGAAAAGTTGTGCGTGTGTGTGTGCGCGCATGTATGTGAAGTCAAATCGTTCGTGAAAGTATTCGCCGAATTGAGTGTACCGATTCTTTTCAAATTTTACCCCGTGAATATGCAGGCCTTAAGGTAGGTCCTGAAACTCGTGAAATGTTATTTTTTATAAAAAATGTGTTATTTATCATGGACTAGAACCAACAGGACGTCGTCCGTGCACGTCTTTGGTGTTTTACGCTTTTTAAAGGCTTAGAATAGAAAATGAAGAGTTTCAGGACCTAGCTTGAATAACTTAGAATACTATAGATATGGAATATTACAGAGTCACATACGGAAGTATGTAAAATATGTTTACGAATGATTGCAAGAGAATGCTGACGTGTTCCGTGGGTAAGACGTGTTTTTAAAGCAGAAATGTAGTTGCAGTTAAACAGATTGTGCCGTTGATCCATTAGAGTATCAAAAATCGTGAATCTACGGGTTTTCGACAGTTTTACTTCGATCTTTTTATAATTATTCTACCGAAATCACATATGGAACGCTTCATTTCGTCTAATTCACAACGTAGAGTGTAATAGACTTCAACATAAATATAAATGTCGGTAATATGGCGCGCCAGCTCATGATATCACTTGAGTATTCGAAACCATAGGCGTTACCACTAAAAAGGGTATAGGTGAATTTTATTTTATCAACGTCTATTAAATTTCTCAGCGCCTTTCATATGACCTTAAAGACGAAACCGGACCTGCAGACAATGAGACCGCGTTCTTTTGCGGCCGCTCTAGCGGCTATCGTTCTTTGCCGTTTATCACGTATATATTTCAGCGCGACATCCACTTTACGTTGGCGACTACCGTACACGATGTATATTTTATAGCTCTATCGGTCAGACGATTGTTTCAGCGAGTTGCGACTGCTTCAATGAAGCGTTGCCTTGGTTGCGAGACAATTTGTGTTGCTCTTGCTCATCGAGAAGAGTTCAAATTATATGTGAAAAGTGATAGTTGACAGAGGGGGCAAAAGGATGGGTAGGGGACGGAGAATTGAAAAAATTGGAAAACGAATGGAACCATCCTGGCTCGTAGCCTTGGTCGGCCCATAAATTCGTGCCGTTTAAATATTCAAAATTTTCTCATTATTCTTCTTTAATCGCGGGATCGAAAAACTACCTGAACGTTGAAAGGAATTGTAAACAATGAAGAATATATTGTTGATTAATACTGTTAAATTTTCTTATTAAGATATTTTGTTTTAATACACAAACGGCACGAACCTGTGGGGCTATTCAATAGATTACGTTCAAATGAAGCATTTGATATTCGGTATCTCAATGAACTTTATTTATTGTACGTTGAAATCAACTTTGAAATTTGGGGACTCGGAAACTGTTTGTTTAAATTAGTAAGGGAAACCTTTATCGTGTATAAATTGTATATCCACTATTAATGTATGATTGAACCAAATTATATCAAGACACGTGGTAGTGCCTCAATCATCAGCACACTTTTTGTTTCGCATTCATTACTTTGTTCCGGTATATCATGTCTATGTATAAATTAGAAATATCATTTTCGTGATAGATCGTCTCTTTCAATTTGTTGTTTGAACAACGTTTGAATACTAATCATCAATAGTAATTGAAATTTTGTTTAAGCTGACTCGAATAACACAGGTTATTTATGGCACATGGTAAAACGTTTAAAAATAGCGTTAATTGATATTTTTATCATTTCCACGAATTCTTTTCACGATCTTGCGATTAATATCCTAGAAGATACATATTTTAATCTACCTCGTTCCAATTAATTTCTCTATCTCTGCGGCTGTAGTAAACGTTTATCACAATAAATTTTGCACTTTAATTATTTCAGATTATTAGACGTACAATCCAGTGTTAACATTTTATAATATATTATTCACCGCGTTTATCATAGTTTAAGTGCCTTTTGTTGGCGATGTAGTTACTTCGAATACGCAGTTGGGTACCTTCAACTGATTTACTGGACACGAATTACACTCGACAAGGATGGACTTCTCTAATCGAATGAAGTACAATTGAATAAACGCCGGATTGTCTTCAGCGGAACGTACAAGATCGACTTTATTTAACTTCCACGAATCAGACATCAGTGATAAGAAAGTCCGAGATTCTGGCTTAGATAAACAAGCGAAATTAATTTTCTTATAAAATCCTCTTCGTCAAGTGCTCATAAACTGTAGGATTTATTTTTTATTAACTCACACAACGTCGGATACGTTCATTGCCAATACTGGTCACACTTGAAAGGAAACATTGTCTATTCATAAGGTATTTGGCAACATCTGAGGTGTGATAAACGAGGTGAACACGTAAATGGAATGATCCATATCACTTTTCTCTCCGAAGATGAGAAAATTAACAGAGAATTAAATTCATAGGCCCTCACTTTTTCTCATAGGCGTAGCGATACATTACAAAACTGAAACTGCGCTTTAAAAAATGAAATATTGCCCAATGGTGTTACGTTGTATGTATGATTGAATAACAAGTCTACATTCCAAGTTGAACATGACTAAATAGTTTAAAGTATGCTAGTTTGCATGTATACGGCGCGAAAGTCTGCCGAGTTTTCTAATAAACGATCCTGATCTTCGGATCCTTAATCTTAAGAGGTAGATCATACAGAACTTCGATTTCCGCTTTTTTGTTTAGATAAAAATTAGACATCAGATTCCAAGTTAATTTAAATAGAAATTGATGTACAGAATCGCACAACAATATGAAGCCGATTTGCATTGAAAAGTGTATTGGAATCGGGTCTATCTTTTTGCAGCACCCTGTACAATAGAATATCATGATTGTTTATAAAAGCGAAAATTAAGTCACTTTGCATTGGATGAAGGCACGTGTAAGGGAATGTACAACCAATAATGTCAAGTATGAGTCACATATGACGTACCACTCCAAGTAGGAATAAGCTCATTGAATTGAATTCTTGCTCGCGCGTGCTCGCGCGTGCACGGCTGTGTACTCGTGCCATGTAAAGTGATAATAAATTCGTCTACATTCCCGACATAATGCTTGCATATTCGGGGGAAAGAACAATTGCTCGAAATATTATGTAAAATAGTAAAACTAAATCCAATAAAAATGAAATCTAAAATGTATAGCGCAAAGTAATAAATAACATTTACAACTGAGTGTGCAAATTAGTAAAAATGGATCGGTGAGCCGATTTTTGCAAGTCAAATAGTAAATACCGACTCTCAAATTCAAGAACTGGTATACTTTTTAAGTCAAGGAAGGAGAATGGAAACAAATACTGTTTCTTTTTTCAATTAAAAAAAAAAATTATTCAATATTTAATATTTCATATTTAACCTCTTATATTTAACAAGAATATCGAAAAACAGTATCAAGAAAATGACTGAGCCACGTCAAGTAATAATTACATCATGAATGTATTAAACAGTCTTCCGTAATGCTCAATAATGATCATAATCGCAGTGTCGATGATTACACCTTTTTACGAGTCAATCAAAGAGGTTAGAAAAGATTCGACACGTGTGAGAATAATCTTACGGTTGTAATATCACTCATTGAAGAACTGGACGGTTATGACGGTTACAACATTGTTATTTGATGTCAACAGCGCCCTCGGTCATTCTCCACTGGTGTACATAATATATAAAAAAATCAGTAACATTCAAATACTTCGCAGGATAAATTGTTAGAATATGAATTTATTTTTTACTTGGCTTGTAAAATTTACATAACACGGAGCGCAGGTATCATTATTTAATCACCTGGTATAACCACATTTCCTGCTGAACAACATTTGTGCCCATAATTATGAAAGTGGTCTAAGTCATATATTTTTTGTTTCGAAATTACATTGAATTAATTTCGTTTGAAATAATATGACGTGAAATAACTGATAAACTCAATTTTTTTTTAATTTTGACTTAGACCACTTTCATAATTATGGGCACATTTTGCCATTCATCCATATTCAAGAACTTTTATTATTTCTCTGCAAACCGTATCACTTTCCGATTTCAAGTAATCGATTAGACGTCAGTACCCAACACTCATCAGAAGTTTGCAGACATACTTTTGAAGGAAAATGTATAAAAGCTTCGCGAGCAAGCTTATGAAATTCGATGCAAGAGGTAAAATGTTTCCTTTACCACGTTTCATCTATCGTAATGTCACACTCGTCAAAATCCACTCTACGTATCACTTTTTCTCCTTTGCGAGAATGACCATGGCACGAATACGTCTCAGTATGTGTAAACCAACATTCGTGTCTTACTGTAAGTACATTACCGTGTACAAGTATATCCTAACCGTCTTATTAAAAATAAATCCCAAAGATCCAACAGCATTTTCAATTCACGTAAACTTTCACATTTAAATGACTCCTCTTGGAATTAAATTAAATTTACAACTTTAGACATTTTCATCAGATTTACTCGAATTCTACCCCATATGCTATAACATTGAAAATTAAATCCAAATTCATTTAATTTCTCAATCTAAACAATGACGCATTTGTTAGTACATACTGCAGTGTTCTGTGTGTACAATATAAACCGGTGTAAACATATATTATCTCTTTGATTAAACACATAACATTACAAAGTATATTTTAAGTTTAAAACAGCTCTAGTTTGTCAAGTTGTCGAGTATATAAATTGTGCCCATAATTATGAAAGTGGTCCAAGTCATATATTTTTTCTTTCGAAATTACATTGAATTAATTTCGTTTTAAATAATATGGCGTGAAATAACTGATAAACTCATTTTTTTTTTAATTTTGACTTAGACCACTTTCATAATTATGGGCACAATTCATTAACGATTTCATCCTGTCGCATTAAGTTCCGGGATAGCTTGATTTTCTTATCGATTAAAAATTTCCTTTCTCCGGCATATAACGTATGATATGGAGAGGGCAATGAAGTATCAAATTACTCGTGCACGATAATCTACCTACGGATTCTGAATTCGAACTTCTACTCAGTTTGGTTTACGAATCCTCTAGTGAGAAGTTGCAACAGGGTTTACGCAAGTTTTATTTTACTTGCACTCGTACTCCGACCGACTGGAGTTCACCAAAGCTTACGTAACGATCCGCCTCACAATTAGACGGCTTCGCCATTCGCACGTAGAACGTATACGAAGCGAACTATGCGAATCGTCGTCGTCGGATCCGTTCTAGCGTGAAACGAGTTCCGCAATGTCGAAGGTCGAAGGTTCCAGCATTAGTCCCCGTCCCAGAATCATGCTGTCGTAGTGGCGGTTGAGAAAACGGTATTTTTACTCAACCCTCGGACAGTAAACGTTTTCGGAAGCGACGAATGCGGTACGTATCGGAAGAGATGGAATGAGAGATTCCCGAGGTCGACATCCTGGTTGACTCTGAAGAGCCCTTTTGAATTGGAATTTTTCCCGAGATCGGTACTTAATCTCTAAAATATTTGGTGTGAGATTTTTCTCTCCCGAAGACAGAATTTCTATTTTCTATTTATCTACGAATTACGATTGCTTAATGAAATTGTCGTTGTTAAAAAAGGGAACTTAACACGTTCGCTACCAGCGCCGAAATATGCGACGTGTATCATTGGCTGTGGTATAAGATTTTCTTCTCAAGCGCTGGTAGCGAACGTGTTATTATAAATAAATAGTTGTATAATGAAAATTCAAGAATATAGGGGAAGTTTGATGGGTAATGCGACAATTATACCATAAAAATATGCACAGATAACGAAAATACTAGGATAACAATTTAACATTTCTACAGGAAGATAACGGTATTTGTATAAGAAAAAATATGGCTCAAAAATAGAACCTCCCTTCCATTTTACAAAACACGTCAATTACACGAAATTACTATAAATTACTCATATTGTAATTTTAATTGAACTATGGTAAATGCGACCATATCGTGTTTATCAGGTGCTATCAGTTAAACCATTCAACCAATAACTCATAACAGCTCTGCGTAGGCAATTAAGATCATTTGATTGGAAGGACAAGGCCTCACTAGACGGATTTGAATGAACTACAACTGAATGATAACAAATAACACTTATAATGGTTGATGCCTCGATTCAATTTTTTTTTTTAGTGCAATGACATATATTATCAATCATGGTTACTTTAATTTCAGGGATTAATTAAAAACAAATACAATGTTGAGACCGTTACCTGTTATTACAAAGGAGGCAAGTGACGAGGTTTCGTCGAGGATACAGTTCAATACTACTGCCAACTTAAGACTTCTGTCATACATAGGTTCAAAAGAAAAAAAAAAAAAAAAATGAGAATTACAGTTTAAAACAAAAATTACACAGGGAAACGAGCACATTTTTCGGGGGATCCTAGCAAGGACTTTTTGCTCACACTTTGCATTAATATCGTACAGCCAGACTTGTATTTAATTACACAAGGTTCGTGGATCACATCGAAATTCCGATGATCACGCTCGCTGCCTTCGAAAGTTTAGGCGCCCGTTCCATTTTCACAGTGCGAATCGATATTGAGCCGATTTTCGATCCCCTCTTCCCGGAGATGATACTTCATGGTTACATAAATTCTCAGAAAATGATTCTGCCGTACGAATACCATGCGCCTTGACTATTGTACGGCAGTACATATACACGGGGACCCTAACTAACGTTCGTACCCCGCGTGGTCCGCGAGGTACCGTAAATTGGCCTTTGGAAAAGGTTCGTTCCTTCCAAGTCGTACCGAAGTGGGCGGTTAGGCAAAAGGACACAAAGAACCCCTCGAAGGACAACGCCAGAAGCCCAACGGCGCCACGGAGTCTCGCCGTGAGCCGAACCTAGGATATCGATTATCCCTTCGCGGTTGTGCATCGCGTCGTCTCGGAGAAGCAAGCGGCGAAGCCATTTCAAGAGCACCAGCCCCGCGATCGTCCAGAGAGGACGGCGACTCCACGCGTTCGGATTAATTTTAATTGCGCGCCCTCAGGGCGAGACGGGCCATTTCCGATCAATCCTAGGTCCCGTTAAAGGCGGCCCCATAAGGTGGGATGCTCCTGGACAGGAATATCGAGAACATCGCTCCGTGGACGTAGGCGTAAGCCTCCAGGAAGTGCAGCTCGGAGAAATAGATCAGGATAAGAAGCACGACGTATCCGAGCCACTGTACGATCTTCATATACTCCCAGAGCCTATCCAGGAAGATGGCAAGGAGAAGGTAATCTATGGCGGCGTGGAAGTTGAACAGTCGCCAGGAGAGGACGACGCTCCAGAAGGAGCCGCTGCGGAGGACGTTGGACTGTCTGAGGTACAGGTCGTTGGCGATCATGGGTGGGACCACCTCGTCGGACTCCAGCAGATCCTGATAGAGCGAGATGTATCGGTTCCAACCGATGCTGGCGATGATCAGATGCCCGACTACGATGAGAACGGTGTGCAGAACGTTGACCTTGGTAGACTTCCTGCGGTAGACCTGGCCCGGTCCGGCGCAATCGCGGCCGTCGATGGAGGGCAAGGTCTGCTGGAGCTTCTCGTAGCCCCTTCGGGGCGGATTGTGTCGTAGGAAGAGGTAAACTCCGACCATCAGGGCTGCGCAACCCAGCCCGTCGCAGATCCCGTCGACGAAGTAGCCGGTGGACCCAAAGTCCGAGCGCTCGCCGTCGATGTTGCGTCTCTTGCGGGCCACGTGGCCGTCCAGGTCGTCCATCCAGGTGCGCACCTGGAAAAGGAGCACGCCGATCCGGCGTTGCGAGAGCGAGTCGCTCGCGACGCACTTAGCGGCCGCTATTGCGACCAACACGTGCGAGCCGCTTATGGCATTCGGGGAAACCCAGGTCCATCCGGAACTGATGCTCAGAAGCCGGTCGACGATCGCGGCCAAGGGGCCCAGCAGGTAGTGATTCGGATGGTCCAGCAACAGGCCCTTCACCGTCACGATGCAGAGGGGATCGAGGTCACAGGGGAGACTGGACGAGTAGGCCTTCTCGCCCTCGACCGGTCTTACGGCATATTCCTGTACGCGCATGTAGAGCAGCCAGTCGGAAAGAACGAAAGATACGACCAGGGTGCCCAGCAGGGCGAACAGCACCCGGTAGCATGGCGACGTGGAGCCCAGCATCTCTTCGACTATCTCGTCGTCTTCGTCGATGCCTCGTGAAATGCCCTTCCCCTGATCGGAGGAATCGCGGATGCCGCGGGGGCGATCTCGACCGAGATACCTCCGCGATTGGTCGTTCCGGCGTCTCAAGGATTGCAATGATCTCGAAAATCGCAAGTCTGGAGATTCGACGAGTCAAGATCACTTATTATAGGCTGCTTTGGACTCTCCCCATGCAGACTAGATTTCGTAAAGGGATCCAGTTCGAGGTTTTATACCGAACTGACCGAACCGCTTTAACTAGTTCCGCTCCATCGACAGGCTAAATTGCAATCAAGGACAGGTGTGACACCGTTTACGAATTCTCTGAAGTCGACGAGGAGTTCGGTCGCAGCCCAATCGGCATGCTCGGTGAATTACCAGTCCGAGATTTTCGCGCTTTTGATACAAGTTATTTGCGCGAGTATAACGCGGTCGCAGAGAAAATAATAGTAGTTTAGACAGTAACAGAGGCGTAAGGCGAGCCGATAGCTCCCGCTGTCGGTTCTACGCGCCTCGAACGTATCACGTTCAAATTCCGCGCTGCAGTCGTAGTAGATCGCGTAAGTAGATCGACGAAAGACCTTCCGTTGCGGTCGAGGTAGTTTCTCGTTATAATGCCAAATCGTGGTACGTAGCTGCAACCCATGGTACCGTAATGCAATCGAGTCTTTACGCCTCGATTCCGTTTCCGTAGCCACGGAGCCGAGCAACTGGTAGCAGGGCGCAAACGGTTCCAGTCTTCCGATCGATCTTCGCTGCAAAATCTCCACCGAGGTCCTCGGCTATCGAGACGCCGTCCGCGTAACGTTTGCTCCTTAAAACACCGATTTCTTGCAAGATCCTGCTTCGCGTAAGCCGACCTCGACCCTGCCGAGCGAGAATCCGTTACTCGAATGGCGTCCTAATCCGTCTCGACCGACCGGAGAGATTCCGTTAACCCCATAATCTTTCTTCATTGCTCCCCTCGTAGCCTCGCGAAGCGTCTGCGTCATTTTCTTTGCTCGTTTAACCAAGGCTCCGCGATCTTGTAATTCGGCATGGCGTTCCGGCTAGCCGGTTACTCGAGATGGAGGAAAATACAGTGCGGAAACCACAGAAGTTTTCTCGTTTTCAGCTTCCGAGACTTCCGCCTTCGGCTCGACAAGGCAACGTCGGATCTCCGACGTTCTTCGACCCCGTGCCGCTCGAATAACAAAACCGACGCGGGCCTGGGACGCGAACCGACACCCACACTCTCGGCGCCAGGACGAGGACTGCGAGTGCGAGGAGGTGCCTCGGAGAGGCGGAGCTAACGGCTGGCTCCTGGGCGAAATTGACTCGGCTCTGACCGAACGGAACACTCGACAAGTGCCGGGCAACGCGCTCCCCGACCACAGCGCCCACTCCGCCGCTCGGCTACTCCGCGCGCAGCCGTAAGGACGCTGCTCTCCCGAAAGGCGGGAGAGCATGCGCACAACGAATGCTGCGATACGTAGTCAAGTCTGAGACAGTGCCGTAAACGTTCGAACACATTGTTGATCGATCACGAGTTAACTCGTGTCGGAACGACTAACGTTGTAAAACTGCCGGTCACCAATGTGTTAAGGTAATATGGAAGGGTCATTCTATATAAATAAAACGTCAAAGTATTTATAAAACTTTTTTCCAAATTGTATGCACCGAATCGTTGGAAACTTCAGGATGTGATTATGGAGACCCCAAGGAAGAACGTGGTGCTCATCAAATTTCATATTTAATAAAAACTTGTTTTATTTATCCCAGACTAGAACCAACACATATATATTTTTTTTTTAATGAAATTTTATGAGCACCACGTTCTTCCTTGGGGCCTTCATAATCACGTGCTGAAGTTTCAAATGATTCGGTGCATCCTGTTTGGAAAAAAGTTTTATAAATATTTTTACATTCTAATATATATAGAACGACCCTTTCATGATACCTTAAACGACTTTTCATCACTTTTGCACGAGACCGATATGAGTGACACGGTGCTAACACCGGAATGCTCACTTAATATCATTTTATGAAATTAAATTTGATACATTGATTTCAGGGAGTCTGGCATTCAAATGCAGGACTCTTATATGTAACTGATTTTCATGGCATTCAAACTGGTATTAATATTGCGGTATCCTAAAATTCTATTGGGCTGACCCATAAATTCGTTTTTATTTCTGCCATTCGAACTCTATAGCATCAGTTCAAATATTCAAAATTGTATCAAATTACTTTTGTCATACAAGGGATCGATGAATTTTCTGAACATCGCAAAGAAGTTGTGGACAAACAAGAATATATTGTTGATTAATTTTGTTAACTTTTATTTAAAATCTTTGTTATATATTATCGAAAAACTTGTGGGACAACCTAATATCCCTCATAGGTTAATATAACTAGGTATAATCTTCAGGCTTTTATAAAATAAGTTTTATATAGTTGAAATTGATATTAACATTATGGTAGTTCATAAATGTCCCACTTTATACAGATCTAACCGTTCATCTTTAATAAATCCCTACACATGCAATGAGACTTTTCAATGTCTCAGAAAGGAACCATGTATACTCTTAACAGGTCCTTAGAAAATAATACTGTGGAAATGTAATAATAGCCATTCCATTATTTAATGACTATTATTGTACATGCGAACAATTTTGTTTTTCATTCAACTAACTTGTACTGGCAGACAAGAAAGCATTTCCTATAGACACGGTATCATCAGTGTGATGAAAAGGCATCCATGTCCACCAGTATATCTGTGTACTAGCATCTCCATCCTGGCTTCGCTCGCAATATGTGCAAGTAGAATTTGAGGTTTATAATCTTTCTTTTTTTGTCCCTTTTCCCCCTCTTAACCGTTTATGTACCACGAGCCACTTTCGCGCTCTTCAGATTTTGTGTCGAGAAAAGCCAGGGCATTTGGCCAAAACAGACGAAGGAGTGCGGTCGCACTCTTTGGCGGTTTTCGATCCTGTTTTTTCAGAACCATCTGGTACGCAAGCGGTTAAGGGCTGATTAGGGCACAATCCTGAAATTGGTTTTTAGGCATTTGAATGTGTATTTTTTTAAAGTAAAAACCAAGCTAATGTCTCCGTAGACTTTAAAGATATTAAGAAATTTATAAAAACACATTTTACCCCCTTTCACCCTATCATGAGCTGAATTTCAAAAAAATTCCGTTTTAGTGAGCACCTATGTTACAAAAGGAATATACCGCCAAATTTCACATTTCTAGGCTTAGTGGTTGGGCTGAATGATAATAAGTTTGTCAATCAGTCAGCCATTCAGGGACATCTTTTATATGTATAAATATAACCATATTTTTTTAAATTCACGTTATATCCTATGCAGAAACTTTATTAGATTATTACATTTATGAATCCCTCTTTTTACTGTATTTTTGCTATGGCACATTTCTTACTTTTTAGGTTATTTTCCTTAATTCAGTAAGTATATGGATAGCTATGGTTACATTTTCTTTAAAAGTAAATATCACCGTAGTTCCACATCTACATACTTTTAAATTTGTTCGCACCATCATCTACTTTATAATGATGGCTCTACATATGCAAATCGTAATATTGTAGCAAGGAATACAATTACTTTACCTGAGGAACTTGCGTACTCTTCCCACATCCTGTTTCTCCTATGAGTACCAAAGTTTGATACTTTTCTAATAAATATATAATGTGAATTCTGTTTTTAAAGATAGGCAGCCTCTGTCTCTGTAGATCGATCGCTAATGAACGATTTGCATTGTACACAAACTGAGTGGTTGAATGCGCATCTATGTCAGCCTTGTCTTCTTGCCATGAATATTCCCCTAAAAAAAATTGAGAACATCACGTCAAAATTTCTTGTTTCTTAAGGATATCTTGTCGAAAAGGTGAACGAACCACCATTACAAAGTTAAACAATAAACACACGAGCGGAGAAAGAAAACGTTCAACGTTAAAACATACCAGGTGCTAGGAATTTTGGTTTGTTATTCATTGTAACTTCCTTTCAGAGAGCATGGTACAGAAACTTAATCTTCTTAAATACCATTCCAATAAAATAATTAAAGAAAATTGTAAATAACATTTCGATCACTCCATTTCTGACTTTATTTACACTTGTTACCCGAAAATCAAATTCAGGGGGTGAGCACTCTTATGGGAATGTTGTCCCCGAAGGCCGAGCGCCACTTGAACATTGCTTAGGAAGCGGTTCAACTAAAATTCAATATGGACGACGAACGCATGCGCACCGCAGATCTTAGGCCGTGTCAGAATTCGCTCATCTCTGTCGAACATCACCAGATAAGAAGTGAACGAATTATATTTATAACAAATGCCTTCTATAACTTTTATATTAACTTTTAGAAATTTTTATTTTCGTGTTAGGTAAGATATAAATAATGCGATAGTTATGATAAATAAATAAATAAATAAATAAAGGATACAATTTCATATCTGATAGGCGTATAACTGTAACTGTCTTCATGCATTATTTGCAGTACGTTGACAAAACTCATTTAGCAATGAACCGTAGTAAATCACCGTTGCAATAGCTGCATTTCCTGTAATCGATTATTCAACTGCAATACTCCTTTCTCTTTCGGCAATGAAAGTGTTGGAGGAGGTGAAGGGGAGCTGGTGCTATGAATTTGGATCGCCACGAGTGAACGAATTTTATTGTAAACTTTCACGCCTAGATCTTTTCCGTCGCAGTTGTAACTTCGATTACACGGCGTTCGTGTCGTTTGCATTTATATCGTATTATTGCGCATCCCTGGAAGCGCGAACGTGATGTACTCTTTGAAATGTCAATTGTTTAATTCACGGGAAACCCGTGGCTTCAGATTACGTGCGTGGTTTTTTTCCACATTGATCCTTTTGTTAAGCTACAGATGCGCTGCGCAAAATTCAGGTGCGCTCTATACGAGCTATACGTGTTATCCAATTAACTAACTAAGAAACTGAAGATAAAATAACTGCATGCTTTTAATATTTTTCCGTATCTACAAACCATAAAACAGATTTGGGTTTAATGTTGATTATCTTTAGATATCATTCTTCCCAAAAATCAAAGAAACCCTAGTAATTTTGGTAAAAATAATAATAAATCATAGGAACTGGATTGTTAAAGGAGAAAAGGTATAAGTACTTGAAATTGAAACTGAACTTTCACTTTCCTTGTTCTGTAAATATTTATGGGACATACTTTCAAACCAGTTTTTATGTATTTTCATCACATTTTTTTAAAAGAATTCTTACATTGGATGTATTGTGCATATAATTTTGTATGTATGCTATGAAATTTATGCTTAAAATTATCTTGATCTTTATACAACACAAAAATATGTATAACTTTCATAATTTGCAGTTGCTTTCCCAAATCTGCAGAGGAACCAGGCACAATCTGTAAATGTGATATGCCCAACAAAAGAAAAACTGGGATTATTTGAACGTTTATTACCACTTCCTTGCAACCAAAATTCTGATTGTACCATTCTTGGGGCAGCAGCTTTATGTTGTGAAAGACGTTGTACACAAGGGGTAGCAGCACCTCCAAGGGAACCACAGCACAATGGTTTGAATCAGTTTTCCTTAGTTTTGACAGAACTGTTCATGTCTTAAATATTAAGAAGATGGAAGACTATATAAGATAAATAATGTTGCTGCCTTTACGTCTTATAATAAAAGAACCGATCCTCTATTCATTTTTCTTTCTTAATTTTTTAGCTGTACTAGGAGTAATAGATCGTATTTGTCCCACGAAACCTATGCCAGAAGCTCTTCCAGTAAAGCGTTGTGCACAAGATACAGATTGTGAAAGAGGGAGACGAATCTGTTGCCCGGACCTAAAAGATAAGCAGTTATATTGTCGCACAGCTGCTCCTAATTGGACCCAATTACCATTTCAACGAACGCATTCACGTAAGCACCTTCGATGAATTAATATAACTATTTAAGCCATACTTTCAGCAAATTATACATTTAATATTCTAGGCCTAATGACTTTACTGGAATACATGCAGTGCCAAACACCAGGACCATCGGTATTGGATTTACTAATAAAACCATGCAATAGTACATCTGATTGTTTCCCTCAATTATGTTGTCAAGAAGGAGCATACAAGGTTTGCAGACCAGCTAGGAAGTCTTGGATTACCTTAATCGCTCAAACCACACAGGTAATATCTTATTGGGAAAATATGGACTTTTATTTAAATATATCATATCCTAAAGTATTAAAATTATCGAAAGAAAACCAGTATTAGTTTCAAAATATTTAATGGATAATTGTTGACTTCAAGTACTAATTAATAATACATTTTTCAGAAACTTGTGAGTGATCCACTGCCAAATTCCATTACAACTGAAATACCTGAACTTGCATGGTTGAAATATACAAAGTAGTTCCATTATTTATAACATTTTGATAACTGATTTTTCATTTAAATCCATCAAGGCATTTTTACATTTAATCCAGCTGTAAAAAGCAAAATACATAAAATGAAACCATTTAGTTTTCTAAAAGTAATTGTGATAAAAAGTTATGTAAATATAAGCATAAAATATAAAAACTCTACCTTTTTAAAACCAATTTCTGCTGCGTATTCTCTAAAACATTGACGGCAGATATTTAATCCATACTTGCGGATGAGCCCATGCTTGTTGGCACAGGCACGACTGCAATAAGATAATATTAAATTATTTCATAATTCATCCGTAATAAAATTCCTGTTGCAATAGAATGTATATTATGCAATACGTTGACCATTTTACTTCCATACTGTTAAGTGAATTTGTGATATCTATTTTATATTTGAGCCATTTATTTTGAAAGTGGCCTAAGTCCATTTGTCAATTATTTTCGGTTGCCCGTAGTTACATGTACAACTTTAAGTTATATATCAATAAAGCATTTGAGGTTAATTATATTCCAAGTAAATACGATAATTTTGGGCACATAAGTTTTCAGAGTTAGTTCAATGATTAAAACCATCATTTTGAAAGTGGCGTAAGTCCAATCTATATGTACGTTCTACATTTGGGTATTAATTTGGTTGGGAACCTGGTTGTTAATTTTGAAAGTGGCTTAACTCCATTCTTGGTAAGAAAACGCATATTATTAACTTAATAATTGCCATTATTTTAATAGGAACTGTAAATTTAACTCCTTTAGATACACTTAAGCAGTGACTCATTGGTATTCTGTACGTATATTTTTAATTGCATTGAAACACAAACCCTTAAATATCTCAATTTAAGTATAAATGGACTCAGGCCACTTTCAAAATAAACGGCTCATTTATATCAATTTATGGTTTAGAATCTTATATTCCCAGTGCCATGTGTGAAGAAACCTAACCTCTAAACAATATACGCCTTATCATCATCAAAGTATCCGATTCATAATTACGAATAACGTACCTATGAATTCTTATAGGGATTTCGGTTGCCACTTCACTTACGTTAACTTTTTAATGAAACATTTGACAGAGATAATACACAATTTGATAGTTTAAAGAAGCAACGTGCATATGATATCTTGAAGCATTTTTTATGCGTTTCTATTAAACATTGTTATTACACTACACAAGCCCATAAATATAAATAAAAAAGAGATGGTACTAACCAAGACCTGGATCCTTGACCGTACTTTCGGGGATGAGAATACCAGATATTCTGGAAACCCATGTTACCATTCAACCAAATTCAAGGAGAAAGAAATGTACCGGACACGACACGTAAAATGGTCGATTGTCGATCACAGACAAAAATATCATAAGAAGGGTAGCTGCAGTAGAATTGGGTACGTAAAATACCCTAGGTAATTTACGTAGTATCGAACAGTAATTTACTAGATATTTTACTTCACAAATTTCACACAGAGATGAGTTGGGAGATTGCTCCAGAGATGAGTTGGGAGATTGCTCACGGGCAGGGTCGCGCGATCGCACCGTGTGCTGCCCTCTAATTTCGTACGTTAACTTTCACCGTTTTTTGCCCCCAAGGGCGGCGCAACGAATTTCTGGTAGGAGCTCGCGCAATCGCGATGGCTGTGCCATCTACCAGTTGCCGTTGACGGCTCACGTATTCGTGATGGTAATACCATGCGGCAGTTGACGGTGGTGGCTTACCATTATGGCAATCTCCTAACTCATCTCTGCCAAATCAGAGATGAGTTGAGAGATTCACGGGAAGGATCGAGCGACCGCGTCCTGTTCGACCTCCGGTGGAGGATGCAGACGGCTAATGCACTTGCCACCTGTTACAAATCTGGGCAGCCGGAGAACCGGCTGAAAAAGTGAAGAACTCCTCACAAAAACTCCAAAACCCTGTACCTC